TCTCAAGATAACCTCATGCTTGACCAAGTTACCTTCCGAATGTGAATATACGTCAATAATGAACAAATCCACAAGGGCCGTGATGTGGGTTCGAAATTACGTCCGGGATGATCCCAGACGCGCCTTAGTCGATTGCGCCACGACATGGTCATAAGAATTGCAACCGGGAGTGCTTCGGGTTGAAAACAACGTTCTACGTTGAAAAAAAAGTAGGTTCGAACCCCCATCACGGCCCTTATGGATTTGTTCATTTGATTTATCACGCTGTTGTGATTTCTGTGTGTAAAGATGTATTCAATTTTGTTGTTGAATATTGAATGGGAAATAGTACTAGCAACAGGAAAAAATTACTATGCCAATATGTTGCTGTAGATTCGCTACCTGGAACAGAAAGTTCCAAGTAGCACGGGCTATGGTGAGCCCGTAGCTATGCCAATAATTTCTGTTATTGTAGAGAGGAAACCAGAATATAGGTTTGTATGGGGTTCCTCCCTTCCCTTAGGTCAAACTACTGACTCTTTCCACAGGATGCAGCCCACAACAGGTGCCTGACTCCTGGATGCTTATTTACAGATAGGTGAATAGGGACATCAGGTGACAGGAAACACGATTAATAATGTCTTTTTGCCTTCGAATTGAACCGGGATCCTCGATTGTGAGTCGAGAACGTAGACCACTGTGGCTAATTTAGTGCATGTTAATTAGGGCAAGTCACTCACTCACTCACTCACTCACTCACTCACTCACTCACTCACTCACTCACTCACTCACTCACTCACTCACTCACTCACTCACTCACTCACTCACTCACGCACTCACTCACTCACTCACTCACTCACTCACTCACTCACTCACGCACTCACTCACTCACTCACTCACTCACTTATTCACTCACTCACTCACTCACTCACGCACTCACTCACTCACTCACTCACTCACTCACTCACTCACTTATTCACTCACTCACTCACTCACTCACTCACTCACTCACTCACTCACTCACTCACTCACTCACTCACTCACTCACTCACTCACTCACTCACTCACTCACTTATTCACTCACTCACTCACTCACGCACTCACTCACTCACTCACTCACTCACTCACTCACTTATTCACTCACTCACTCACTCACTCACTCACTCACTCACTCACTCACTCACTCACTCACTCACTCACTCACTCACTCACTCACTCACTCACACACACACACACACACACACACACACACACACACACACACACACACACACACACACACACACACACACACACAATTCTACGACCAGGCAACAAAAATAAGGCAAGAAAGAGAAGGGTGGGCAGACTGCATATTTTTGGATTGTCAGAAAGCCTTTGATACAGTGCCACACAAGAGGCTAGTGCGAAAGTTGGAGATGCAGGCTGGAGTGAGAGGGAAGGTACTCCGGTGGATAGAGGAATACCTAAGCAACAGGAGACAACGAGTCTGTGTGAGGGGTGAGGTCTCAGATTGGCGAGACGTCACAAGTGGAGTCCCGCAGGGGTCAGTCCTTGGACCTATACTGTTTCTGGTATATGTAAATGATCTCCCAGAGGGTATAGATTCGTTCCTCTCAATGTTTGCCGACGATGCAAAAATTATGAGGAGGATTGAAACAGAGGATGATAGTAGGAGGCTACAAGATGACCTGGATAGACTGAGTGAATGGTCCAACAAATGGCTGTTGAAGTTCAACCCGAGTAAATGCAAAGTAATGAAACTAGGCAGTGGAAACAGGAGGCCAGGCACAGGATACAGAATAGGAGATGAAGTACTTAATGAAACAGACAGAGAGAAAGATCTAGGAGTTGATATCACACCAAACCTGTCTCCTGAAGCCCACATAAAGAGAATAACGTCTGCGGCATATGCGAGGCTGGCTAACATCAGAACGGCGTTCAGGAACCTGTGTAAGGAATCATTCAGAATCTTGTACACCACATATGTAAGACCAATCCTGGAGTATGCGGCCCCAGCATGGAGCCCGTACCTTGTCAAGCACAAGACGAAGCTGGAAAAAGTCCAAAGGTATGCTACTAGACTAGTCCCAGAACTAAGAGGCATGAGTTATGAGGAAAGGCTGCGGGAAATGCACCTCACGACACTGGAAGACAGAAGAGTAAGGGGGGACATGATCACAACCTACAAAATCCTCAGGGGAATCGACCGGGTAAACAAGGACGAACTTTTCAACACTGGTGGGACGCGAACAAGGGGACACAGGTGGAAGCTGAGTACCCAAATGAGCCACAGAGACGTTAGAAAGAACTTTTTCAGTGTCAGAGTAGTTAGCAAATGGAATGCATTAGGAAGTGATGTGGTGGAGGCTGACTCCATTCACAGTTTCAAATGTAGATATGATAGAGCCCAATAGGCTCAGGAATCTGTACACCAGTTGATTGACGGTTGAGAGGCGGGACCAAAGAGCCAGAGCTCAACCCCCGCAAGCACAATTAGGTGAGCACAATTAGGTGAGCACACACACACACACACACACACACACACACACAAACTTGGGGTTAATCTCTTAAGAGCAGCAAGAAGTGGAAACTTGTAAATCTGGCACAGCTGGGAATTGGGCCCAGGCAAACGTAATTACCAAACCAACTCCTCCCTCCGGTCCGCGCCCTGCTGACGACCTCCCTCTGGGTGTATATATACCCCCCCCCTGGCACTGAGTATACCTGTGGGTGTGTATACCCCTGTCACTGAGTATACCTGTGGGTGTGTATATCCCTGGCACTGAGTATACCTGTGGGTGTGTATACCCCTGGCACTGAGTATACCTGTGGGTGTGTATACCCCTGGCACTGTATTGCAAGCTTGGGTATATTCCCTCAGGTGTAGTGCGGAGCAAAGAGGATCAGATAATACTGTCCTTGAACTGGGATTTACCTTGACTTGTGTAGAGGCGTGTTCTAGTGTCTCTGTCTCTGTCTCTGTCTTTTTCTGTCTTCCTTTTTCCCATTTCTCTACCTCCCTTTCCATTCCCGGTGCCCTGTGGCTCGGTCATGGCATGTCGTGTGGGGTAAAAATGAGATTTTTCACTTTGTTGTATTGGGAGATTTTCGAAGTCCAGCACTGAATAGAAATGGTGACTAAGAGGACAGCTGGTGGCGTCAGCTGGGGGCTGCTTTGTTGAGTTCCCATGCTAGGGGTACACAGGTTCCTTCACGTCTTGTGTGGGTGCTCATCTAGTGGAGTTCTACTAGAGAAGGGTAGAGAGATAAGGAGGGAGCAGAAGAGGTTGAAGTTGAAGGAGAAAGAGAGAGAGAAGGAAGGAGCGTGTGTGCCGGGAATAGTGTACGGGAGAGAGGAGGGAAGAAGAGACAGTGAGGGAGAGAGAGACGGAGAGAGGCTGGACAGAGGAAGATAAGGAAGTGGTTCTCCTCAGGGAGGTTGAGCCCCAGAACTCGCCCCCAGCTTACACACACACACACACACACACACACACACACACACACACACACACACACATACACACACACACACACACACACACACACACACACACACACACACACACACACACACACACACACACACACACACACACACACACACACACACACACACACACACACACACACACACACACACACACACACACATACACACACACACACACACACACACACACACACACACACACACACACACACACACACACACACACACACACACACACACACACACACACACACACACACACACACACACACACACACACTGCCCCAGCCCCCTGGCGGCGGGGCGGTGAAGCAAGCGTAACACTACCCCCCTTTCTCTTAACCTTCGTGTTTGCTCACCTCTAATAACAGAGGAAACTAAACACAAGAATTTTCGGTAATTACCACCTCTTGATATTTCTGATGCTCTCAATGGGGTAGTTGAAGCTGTTTCAGAATCTTGCTGTTACTGCTGGTTCCAGTTAAATACTCTACCTGCTCTAGGAGCTCTTGAAATTGTCTTTGCCGGTAAGTGTAGGTGAGTTTGGTGATTAAGTGCTGCCGTAATGGTCATTAAGTATAGTCGTTATGACAATTAAGTGCTGGCGTAACTTTAAGAACTGCCGTGATCAGACTCGGCAAAGAACTCAGTGCACATATAATATTCCTTCCATTTATGTTATTTAATCTAAACAAAATAGTACGCGAATTGCGTGACATAATTTTATGCGTTGACCTATTCTCTTTTTTTGTAGTTTATGGAGAAAAAAAATTTTCGTTACACGTCTGGACATCAATAGACTGGAAGCTATCATTGCCATGCCTACACAGCCACAGCTGCGGCTGGCAGCTTCTATGCTGCTGCACCATTGCAAACACTTTGAAGCTGAGCGACTGTAATACTTGACGTTCTCGGACACCCGATAACTCTACGGGAATCGCCCGCCGCGTTTAACTATCACAAATACCTGTGAATGTTTACCGTCGATTTCTATCACTTACAAAGTCACGTCTGTGGCTGACCCCACAGAGCACAATCTCCTGGATTACTCCTCACTGTGACATAGTATAATTTAGTTAAATTAAAGCTACACAAGATCTCAGTCAAAATCCTCACTGTTATGACATTCGCATGTCCCAGAGTCGTCCCAGGATCGTCCCAGGGTCGTCTTAGGGTCGTCCCTGAGTCGTTCCAGGGGTCGTTTCAAGGTCCCCTTGCACCCCCTGGGGCTTACTAATGACCTGTGATCTCTAGGGCTCTCTGAGAACCTGTGGTCTAACGTGGTTGACCATTATAAAAGCTTCGAGTGTCGCTTTTCTTGTGAATAGACAGTCCCAACTAAAATCTGGGCCCAGGAGCTGGAGTCCATAAAGTCTATGACCGTTCTATAGACATATGAGAGGTGGACTACAGATTTTAAGTACTCTACAGTGAACTAAAACTACACGTTTTGCTTTAGCATTAAACATTCTGTATTGAAGATATTTCTTACGATATTTGACATTAGTTGTGTTGTGATGTGTTGCAGGAGATGACGCCGTGTACCGCAGCACTGTGGTGGCGCTGGAGGGCGACTCCCCGCGGCCTCCTGGAGGAGTGGCCTTCGTTATCAAGGTGAGTACCCTTGTAGGTCTCACTTACACCAGCCCACTGCTGGTGGCAGGGTCTCGGGGTGAGGGAACCCCTTAGTCCCTTACCCCCTTGTACCTCACCCCCTTGTACCTCACCCCCCTTGTCCCGCACCCCCTTGTCCCTCACCCCCTTGTCCCTCACCCCTCTCTCTCTATCTCTCCCTCTCTCTGATATTCGTAATAAGACCTCAAGTGAAGCCTCAGTCTAGTTGAAGCTCATTTATTTGACGAGTTTAATATTAGTTTCCACTGGGAATAACCTTTAGTGAGTGTTAAGCTACAATGTTATATACTGGTTGAGGTCGGAACCAACTGCATGCCAGAGCCTTCAATTAGTTGTGGGGACTCTGGAAAACATTTGCCTTACACATAAGAGTAAGTGGACCACTATCCTCTGATGTAGTGTCCTGTCAGACCAGAACAGGCTGCAGGTGAATCTTATCGCATGGTTCTGATGGCAGCGTACTTGTCTTGCATGTAAGGTTTTGTAACAGAGGACGTGGAGACCGTGGGAGGTGCGCCTTGGGTGTGTGGGAGAATGGTACCTGCTTGATGGGGTTCAGGGAGTTCTTCTACTCCCTAAGCCCGGCCCGAGGCCAGGCTTGACTGGAGAGAGCTTGGTCCACCAGGCTGTTGCTTGAAGCGGCCCGGAGGCCCACATATACCTGCTTGATGGGGTTCTGGGAGTTCTTCTACTCCCCAAGCCCGGCCCGTGGCCAGGCTTGACTTGGAGATGCGATGTAAGTTTCTTGGTTGCCTGGCTTGCTAGCTTTAGCACAAGGCTCTTCATATAGTTTATGATCATTGGCTGTATTTTCTCTGCATCATATATGGTGCTACATAACCTTCCCGGCTTGGTGCCTTCTTCCATAATTACTTGCTTACGCTGCATCATATGTAATGGTAACTAGGTGTAGTATGAGGCCCCCAACCTGGACAGTGCTGGACTGTACCTCAGTGAAACGTCACAAAATGTCCTGTTATCAAGAGATGTTGGCAGCGTAGCTCACGGGATAAGTAAGATCATTCTTGTGTTAAAAATATAGGAATAAAGGTAACTGCGGAAGGCCTATTGGCCCATACGAGGCAGCTCCTATTTATAACCACCCTATTCTTGTTTTCTATTCTTGTTTATCATAGTTTACAAAATAAATGAGACGATTTAGAACTGAGAAGGGACTGTAATGTATTGCAAGATTAACCAGACAATCTTCAGAGATGAGCTGAAAAATGGCTATTAGAGTTCAACCCTGAAAAAAAATGCAAAGTTACGAGGATAAGAGTTAGCGCAAGAAGATCTCATATACAGTAGAGGATGGAGGATAGACAACTTTCCACTTCCGAAGAAAAGAAAAACTTAGAAGTGGACATAACTGGAAATTTAACACCAGAGACACACAACAGGAGAATAACAAGAGCAACATATGCCAGACTGACAAACGTAATTATGGTTATACTGCAGACGAGGAGTCACAATAACGTGGCTGAAATATGTTGACCAGACCACACACTAGAAGGTGAAGGGACGACGACGTTTCGGTCCGTCCTGGACCATTCTCACAATCGACTTGAGAATATTCCAGGACGGACCGAAACGCCGTCGTCCCTTCACCTTCTAGTGTGTGGTCTGGTCAACATGGTTATACTGTGAAACAACATGAGCATGTTGCCCCGGCATGGAACCCCACCTAAAGAAACACAAACCAAAATCAGACAAGGTCGAATGATATGCAATAAGGTTCGTTCCGGACCTAAAGGAACCGAGTTGTTAAGACAGTGAATTGGATCTCACTACACTGGATGAAAGAAGGAATGGAGTAGACATGATAACGACGTGCAAGATTCCAAGGGGAATTGACCAAGACAATAGAGATGAAATATTTAAAGTGAAGAACAGTAGAACGAAAAGACATAATTGACAATTGAAGACACAGATAAGTCACAGAGATGTCAGAAGCAACACAGAATAAAACACAAGATAATGGGTATAAATTGGATAAGTTTAGGTCTGGGAATGACCTGGGTAAATACTGGTTCGGTAACAGAGTTGTTGATTAGTGCAAACAGTTGCCACGTAACATAATAGAAGTAAAATCCCTTGATTGTTTCAAGCGTAGGTAAGACATATATCTTCTTGAGGTTATCTTGAGATGATTTCGGGGCCTTAGTGTCCCCGCGGTCTGGTCCTCGACCAGGCCTCCACCCCCAGGAAGCACAGCCCGTGACAGCTGACTAACTCCCAGGTACCTATTTTACTGCTAGGTAACAGGGGCATAGGGTGAAAGAAACTCTGCCCATTGTTTCTCGCCGGCGCCCGGGATCGAACCCGGGACCACAGAATCACAAGTTCAGCGTGCTGTCCGCTCGGCCGACCGGCTCCCTACCCTACCCTATATATGAATGAGTTTAGGTGGCTATAAATATTAGCTGCCTCGTATGGGCCAATAGGTCTTCTGCAGTTACTTTTATTTTTATGTTCTTATGTCGGAATGAACTTTCTCAGTTCAAGAATTGTAAATAACTAGAACGGACTAAAGAAGAAAGTTCTGACAGCCAAACTCGAGACACAGTTTCTAATGTATAAGAAAAATGAATGACTAAAACGACCATTTGCAATGAATTACTAATAACCGAAAGGCGGGGCTTAAAAGCTGACACTCGAGCCTGTAAGCACGTCTAGGTGAGACCACACACTCACAAGTGGTCCGTGTACTAATGGTCTACATATGTAAAACACAGCTTTAGATTCGAGACATTTAGTAAGTTTTCTACCCTATAAACAACCATTTAACAAAGACAACCGGTTACACAAACATCATTTATATAAAAAATCGGTACTCGATAAATTTTTTATCGTATTTACAAATACATTTCAAAAGACAACTAAAATGGTATTCATCTCAGATACACATAGCGCGTAGAGCCATGTATATCTTCAAGTGTGTAGTTCCATTACTATGCAGGCGATGAGTCACAATAACATGGCTGAAGTATATTGACCAGACCACATACTAGAAGGTGAAGGGACGACGACGTTTCGGTCCGTCCTGGAACATTCTCAAGTCGATTGTGAGAATGGTCCAGGACGGACCGAAACGTCGTCGTCCCTTCACCTTCTAGTGTGTGGTCTGGTCAACTTCCATTACTATGTTTGTTTTGATTTACAGGGGTCAAGCGCCCTCCCAAGTTGTGGGGAAATGTTTCAGACGCCATAAACCTCTCTCTTGGAGGATATATGGCCAGGGAGGATATATAGCCACGGACGGATATATGGCCACGATCAGGGGAAAGCGCCATCACGACTATATAGCACTGGGAAGGAGTCAGGATAAGGATTTAGAATAGGACGAGGCAGGGAAGGAATGGTATCCAATCACTTGTAGACGGTCGGGGATTGAACGCCGTCCAGCATTATCGCTCTACCGTCCATCTACCGTCCAGAGGCTACAGTTAAGGACTGGCGCCCAGTCAATCCTCCCCGGCCAGGATACGAACCCAGGACAAAGTGCATGCGAAGCGCAGCGCGAGTATTTTACCACTGCGCCACGAGGACTGTTAATCGGTCACATTTGAAGTACATGATAGTGGTAGGCCTATATGTAAAGGTTAAGATAGTGTATCAGTGATGATACTGGTTCTCAGGCCGTGCCCCTAGGCCTAAATAGTGATTCACTCTGTTTAGAACTACTTGTTAGATAGGGATGAACCCTACATGGTGACGTCACACTCTAGCACGTGTGTGATTCTAGCAGGTGTGTATAACATCACCACTCTAGCAGGTGTGTATAGCATCACCACCATAGTCTGAAGGCGTACATGGCGTCCTCTATAACTGACAGATATATATATATATATATATATATATATATATATATATATATATATATATATATATATATATATATATATATATACATATATATATATATATATATATATATATATATATATATATATATATATATATATATATATATATATATATGTCGTACCTAATAGCCAGAACTCACTTCTCAGCCTACTATTCAAGGCCCGATTTGCCTAATAAGCAAGTTTTCATGAATTAATGTTTTTTCGTCTACCTAACCTACCTAACCTAACCTAACCTAGCTATTTTTGGCTACCTAACCTAACCTTACCTATAAATATAGGTTAGGTTAGGTTAGGTAGGGTTGGTTAGGTTCAGTCATATATCTACGTTAATTTTAACTCCAATAACAAAAAATTGACCTCATACATAGAGAAAAGGGTTGCTTTATCATTTCATAAGAAAAAAAAATATAGTAACTATATTAATTCAGGAAAACTTGGCTTATTAGGCAAATCGGGCCTTGAATAGTAGGCTGAGAAGTGAGTTCTGGCTACTAGGTACGACATATATATATATATATATATTATATATATATATCGTACCTAGTAGCCAGAACGCTACTAGGTACGATACCTAGTAGCCAGAACGCTACTACTATATATATATATATATATATATATATATATATATATATATATATATATATATATATATATATATATATATATATATCGTACCTAGTAGCCAGAACGCACTTCTCAGCCTACTATGCAAGGCCCAATTTGCCTAATAAGTCAAGTTTTCATGAATTAATTGTTTTTCGACTACCTAACCTACCTAACCTAACCTAACCTAACGTTTTCGGCTACCTAACCTAACCTATAAAGATAGGTTAGGTTAGGTTAGGTAGGGTCGGTTAGGTTCGGTCATATAATTACGTTAATTTTAACTCCAATAAAAAAAAATTGACCTCATACATAATGAAATGGGTAGCTTTATCATTTTATAAGAAAAAATTAGAGAAATATATTAATTCATGAAAACTTGGCTTATTAGGCAAATTGGGCCTTGCATAGTAGGCCGAGAAGTGTGTTCTGGCTACTAGGTACGACATATATATATATATATATATATATATATATATATATATATATATATATATATATATATATATATATATATATATATATATATATATATATCTGTAGACAGGTGTAGCACACATGCATAATCCAGCACATCCTCCCACCATAGAGTACTTAAAGTAACTATTAGGTAAAAAGTACCAATATGATCTCTCCTAGTAATTCTGAGCCTAATACACTGTGCTTTAGGCCTAAAACAGGGTATTTTAGGCCTAATATAGTACATATGCCCTACACTATGCTTAGGAATATTTAAGTTTGGGTTTTAGCTTTAATTTTTTCCGGAATAAAAATTCGAAATACAAACTATTATTTGTGGTTCATCACTACACATATTGGTACTTTCTACCAAATAGTTACCATAAGTACTTTCATTTCAGGAGGATGGGTTGAATAATCAGCCATGGTTTGGTCTGTAATCTGACAGTTGCTGTACTCTAGGATACATCAAGGCATATAGGGGGGGACCTTCGACAAGCCGCCGGCTTCCTGTCCTCGTCGAGGTCATTAGGGTTAATGGTTCCCACAGGTGAATCGGATAAATCAGAACTCCATACAAGTAGGCGATGAGTCACAGTAACGGGGCTGAAGTATGTTGACCAGACCACACACTAGAAGGTGAAGGGACGACGACGTTTCGGTCCGTCCTGGACCATTCTCAAGTCGACTGTGAATGATTGTGAGTCGACAATCGACTTGAGAATGGTCCAGGACGGACCGAAACGTCGTCGTCCTTTCACCTTCTAGTGTGTGGTCTGGTCAACATACAAGTAAAATATATGGCATAATAGATTCTCTGAATGTATGGATACCTCTGTATAGCATAATAGATTCTCTGTATGTATGGATACCTCTGTATAGCATAATAGATTCTCTGTATGTATGGATACCTCTGTATAGCATAATAGATTCTCTGTATGTATGGATACCTCTGTATAGCATAATAGATTCTCTGTATGTATGGATACCTCTGTATAGCATAATAGATTCTCTGTATGTATGGATACCTCTGTATAGCATAATAGATTTTCTGTATGTATGGATACCTCTGTATAGCATAATAGATTCTCTGTATGTATGTCTATCTCTGCATGACATAATAGATTTTAATAGAACTTCACAAACGTGTTCTATTGTAAGGGTAGAAATAGTCCACATGTAAACAATTTTGTAAACTGCAGAACAGTGTATAATATTATGAGCGCGTGCGTGCGCGTGTGTACATATAAAAAATACATTATACATATACACTGGGACAATATAAAAAGTAGAATTTAACATTCGGATTTGAGACTGGGAAGTAATGTATAGAAGTTAACAAACATACAGGAAAAGCAGCACCGAAAATAACAAATAATTCTAATGCGCTAAAATAATAACAACATTCCAATAAAAATGATAAAAATGGGTAAAGAAATGTAGAAAATAAGTATAAAAGCAGGAGTGGGATTATTGATAAAGGAACGGGGAGAGAGAGAGAGAGAGAGGGGGAGGAGGAAGAGGGAAGAGGAAGGGGAAAGAGGGAGGAAGAGAGGCAGGGCCTCAAGGGAGAGATAAAAAGCAGTATATAGTGGAATGGAAGTCTAACTCTGCCAGCCGTTGCCCAACCCACTCCACTCTCTGGTCTCCTTCCTTACACTGACCTATTTTCTGCCTCCTGGCGTCAAAAAGGAAATTGTTTTCCTATCTTATTGCGTAATAATCAGATCGGCTTCTTTTGTTTTGATGGATTAAAAGTGTATAAGTCAGTTGTTCTTTCCCCTCCACACAGGATTAATTCTATATAGGATCATTTTTTCTTTTCCTTAAAACGGGATTTTAATACTGGATGAGTTCGTTGTACTTGTCTACAAGATGAGATTAATCCTGTATTAGGCAGTTAGTCACTTGGGGATGTCCTCCTCGAAGGTACCTTGACACAGAGGACCATTGAGGACCCGAAGGCACCGCTGGTGAGTGTGACTTCTGCAGTCTCTCTTGTGGTCGAAGGCCCGCAACGACACGACATTTTATCTCTGTTTATGTGCGCCACATTTGGGTTTACCGTGCATGGTCACTGGTATATTCCCAGTTTCCTTTTATCTGGAAGTATACCTCCGGTACCTTTCAGACTCTGCCATGGTTTCCTGGATGTAATTTTGATGTTGACCAAACCACACACTAGAAGGTGAAGGGACGACGACGTTTCGGTCCGTCCTGGACCATTCTCAAGTCGATTCGAGAATTAGTTTTGATGTTATTTCAAGGTTCGTCTAAGGCCTCTCTAGGTGGGTCTTGTCATCCGAAGGGGTCCAGGTTAGTGAAATGGTTTACGCGACCTGGCCCATGAGTCTTCCTGGAAGACCTCCTTAGGGTGGACTCGGAGGTCAAGAGTCTTCATTTCCTGGAAGACTTCTTCGGGGCAATGGACTCCCACAGTCCGGTAAGGCTATCGTACTCTGTCTCTGGATGTTTCATCTCGTCTCATTCATCACAAGTGCTGTGATTCGACAGAGATAGGCTTAGAAAGATGAATGAGTCCCGGAAGCGTCTTGGGAATCTCAAATTCATGATACAAGTTCTTTTCTAAAACGTTATGAGACTCCTAGCAGGTAACCCAGTGTGTCTTGGGACTCCTAGAAGGTATTCCAGTGTGTCTTGAGAGTCCTAGCAGGTATCCCAGCTTCGCAGGAAAGTCCCAGCAGGTGCATATAGGTGTATAATTCTTGTTGTCAGGGGCGAGAAGCCTATACTTAATATATCTTTCCCGGTATGTATACACATACCTGCTTCTCAGGGTATATACATACCTGTTTATACACGCTAGGTCTTGATGACCCAGGTAGTTGCTAGGTCTTAATGACCCAGGTAGTTGCTTGGTCTTAATGACCCAGGTAGTTGCTTGGTCTTAATGACCCAGGTAGTTGCTTGGTCTTAATGACCCAGGTAGTTGCTTGGTCTTAATGACCCAGGTAGTTGCTTGGTCTTAATGACCCAGGTAGTTGCTTGGTCTTAATGACCCAGATAGTTGCTAGGTCTTAATGACCCAGGTAGTTGCTTGGTCTTAATGACCCAGGTAGTTGCTAGGTCTTAATGACCCAGGTAGTTGCTTGGTCTTAATGACCCAGGTAGTTGCTTGGTCTTAATGACCCAGGTAGTTGCTAGGTCTTAATGACCCAGGTAGTTGCTTGGTCTTAATGACCCAGGTAGTTGCTTGGTCTTAATGACCCAGGTAGTTGCTTGGTCTTAATGACCCAGGTAGTTGCTTGGTCTTAATGACCCAGGTAGTTGCTTGGTCGTAATGACCCAGGTAGTTGCTTGGTCGTAATGACCCAGGTAGTTGCTTGGTCGTAATGACCCAGATAGTTGCTAGGTCTTAATGACCCAGGTAGTTGCTTGGTCTTAATGACCCAGGTAGTTGCTAGGTCGTAATGACCCAGATAGTTGCTAGGTCTTAATGACCCAGGTAGTCGTTAGGTCTTAATGACCCAGGTAGTCGTTAGGTCTTAATGACCCAGGTACTAGCTAGGTGGTAGACCTTAAACGGATTCCGGACAGAAGCTAGCACACATGTGATCATTGATTCACCCCCTGAGACCTTGGAATTTCTAGACGTACCCTCTCTCTCTCTCTCTCTCTCTCTCTCTCTCTCTCTCTCTCTCTCTCTCTCTCTCTCTCTCTCTCTCTCTCTCTCTCTCTCTCTCTCTCTCTCTCTCTCTCTCTCTCTCTCTCTCTCTCTCTCTCTCTCTCTCTCTCTCTCTCTCTCTTTCTCTTTCTCTTTCTCTCTCTCTCTCTCTCTCTCTCTCTCTCCCCCTCCCTCTCCCCTCCCCTCCCCTCCCCCCTCTCTCTCTCTCTCTCTCTCTCCCCCTCTCTCTCTCTCTCTCTCTCTCTCTCTCATCAGTAAGACATCATCATTAGGATGGCCACACATCCTACTGATGGATTATAATCCATCCATAAGAATGGATTGTTTAACACGGGTGGTACACGAACAAGGGGACTCAGGTGGAAGCTGAGTCCCTAAATGAGCCACAGAGACATTAGAAAGAACTTTTTCAGTGTTAGAGTAGTTAGTAAATGGAATGCATTAGGCAGTGATGTGGTGGAGGCTGACTCCATACACAGTTTCAAGTGTAGATATGATGGAGCCCAGTAGGCTCAGGAACCTGTACACCAGTTGATTGACGGTTGAGAGGCGGGACCAAAGAGCTAGACCTCAACCCCCGCAAGCACAACTAGGTGAGTACAACTGGCAGTGTCTCTCAGTCCCACAGTCTTTCCTGCATCGTGCAAGCAATTTATTACTCAAAGGAAAAGCCCAGCCCCCAGCCAACACTTCGGGCGCGCGTGTGTGGGTACTCTGGCTCCCACCAGAGAGGTATTCCCCGCAGATATGTGTTACAACCCTTATGTCGTCTTCCTGAGAGGTCGGTGGCCCGTAACGATTGGGCAAGACATCGCAGACCCGGAAGCGTAACTGTTCTGCCTTGGTGTACTCCATATTAATGTGTATCTCTCCTTTTGTACCCCACAGTAATGTTTCTCGTCTAGTGTGTCCCACAGTAATGTCCCCCTGGTGTGTCCCACAGTAATGTCCCCCTGGTGTGTCCCACAGTAATGTCCCCCTGGTGTGTCCCACAGTAATGTCCCCCTGGTGTGTCCCACAGTAATGTCCCCCTGGTGTGTCCCACAGTAATGTCCCCCTGGTGTGTCCCACAGTAATGTCCCCCTGGTTTACCCCACAGTAATGTCCCCCTGGTGTGTCCCACAGTAATGTCCCCCTGGTGTGTCCCACAGTAATGTCCCCCTGGTGTGTCCCACAGTAATGTCCCCCTGGTGTGTCCCACAGTAATGTCCCCCTGGTGTGTCCCACAGTAATGTCCCCTGGTGTGTCCCACAGTAATGTCCCCCTGGTGTGTCCCACAGTAATGTGCTTGTGACTTGTGTTGTTGTTGTCAGAACAAAGTGGGACGGTGCCTGAGCAGGAAGACCCTCCACCGGCGCCTGCCGTGCCTGGGCTGGCTCCGGGGCTACTCCAGCGAGTGCCTTCTGGGGGACCTGGTCGCTGGCTTCACCGTCGGGCTCATGATCATACCCCAGGCGCTCGCTTACGGCATCGTCGCTGGCCTGCCCCCTAATGTAAGTGTTGTGTCCTCTGTGTGTCTCTCTCTGTCTTGGTGTGTGTGTGTGTGTGTGTGTGTGTGTGTGTGTGTGTGTGTGTGTGTGTGTGTCTGTCTGTCTGTCTGTCTGTCTGTCTGTCTGTCTTAGTCTGTCTTAGTCTGTCTTAGTCTCTCTCTCTCTCTCTCTCTCTCTCTCTCTCTCTCTCTCTCTCTCTCTCTCTCTCTCTCTCTCTCTCTCTCTCTCTCTCTCTCTCTCTCTCTCTCTCTCTCTCTCTCTCTCTCTCTCTCTCTCTCTCTCTCACCCTTAATATACTTGCTACACATATAATGTTATTTATGTGTACAGATTTGGAACCAATCCCTCTTAATATTTTCCAGGTGTAAATTATTATGTATTTCTCCCGCTTACTCTCTAGAGAATACAGATTTAAACATTTGAATCGGTTCCAATAATTTAGATGTTTTATTGAGTATATTCTAGCAGTGAATTATCTTTAGACAGTAGTAAAGTACAGTAAATTAGGAAGGATTAGCAGGAGTTTGTGAAATCCAAGTTGAGGGTTATAGGTCAATCTAGTAAAGGTGGTATATATAAGAGGGCGATGGGAAGGGGTATAGGCAAATCAACACGATCCGGTGAGGGAGAAGGCACCAGGGAGGCAGCAAGCTCTAGATTAAGACAGCACCCGGTGTTCCATTGCGATGTCCGGTGACTCTTGTCTCAGAGATGAGAGGAGGTGCGGGAACAGTTGTAAGTGGTTTGGGCTGAAACTTTCTTATCCGCTGTGGTAGTTCCATTCCCTTCCTCCCCTTCTTCCTATCAAGAGAAAGCGCCAAGCCATTACAACAATGTAGCGCTTGGAAGGGATTAGGATTTGTGATGGGACGGGAGGGAAGGAATGGTGCCCAACCACTTGGACGGTCGGGGATTGAACGCCAACCTGCATGAAGGGAGACCGTCGCTCTGAGGAGCAAGGTTTGCGTTTCTGACTGCGAAAGACAAGCGTGCCGGTAGGAATGTCCTGTCTCTTCAGTCTCGGGTGATGAGGGAGAATGATTGCTGACATTAGGACGTCTGGGAGAAGGATGGGTATTGCCTGGACACACAGTTGCCGAAGAAAGTCCAGGCTCGAACACATCAGCTACTCCAGCTCCACTCCATTTTTGACACGCCATCACCCTCTTTATCCATCAACATGACCATTTTCCCCTGCCAGCATCCCCCATTTCCAGCCAGCCGCTTGCGGCACTTTGCCTTTCCACCCGCCAACCTTCCACTGTACCCGTCTCCATCCCTACAGTATGGGCTGTACTCAGCGTTCATCCCCTGCTTCGTGTACTTCCTCCTGGGGTCGACGATGGAGCTGAACATCGGGCCGACGGCCATCATGGCACTGATGACCTACCAGTACACCAGCCACGGCGGGCCGGACTACGCCGTGCTCCTCGCCTTCATCGCCGGCGTCATCGAACTCGTCGCCGGCGTCATCAACCTGGGTAAGCTCATCCTCCGAGTAGGATCTAAGACCTGGGAATGAGGACCCTACCTCATTCCTCAACCCGTCCTCCTAATAGAACGTCGCATTTTGACGTATACTTTACCTAAAGCCAAAAACTGTCGTACAAGAAAATGGTTGAGGGCCTCGAAGTTGTCAGAATGTTCCCTTTTCCTGTTCGTGGGTCCTCTGGTAGGTTAGGTTCTCTTAGTACGGCAGTTTCTTGACGTTGGGGACGCTGGCGAGAACGGGCTGCCTTGTTTGTGGCTGTCAGTGGCAGTGCTCTCAGCGGCTGTCAGTGCTCTCAGCGGCTGTCAGTGGCAGTGCTCTCAGCGGCTGTCAGTGGCAGTGCTCTCAGCGGCTGTCAGTGGCAGTGCTCTCAGCGGCTGTCAGTGGCAGTGCTCTCAGCGGCTGTCAGTGACAGGGCTGTCAGTGGCAGTGCTCTCAGCGGCTGTCAGTGGCAGTGCTCTCAGCGGCTGTCAGTGGCAGTGCTCCCAGTGGCTGTCAGTGGCAGTGCTCTCAGCAGTTGTCAGTGGCAGTTCTCTCAGTGGTTGTCAGTGGCAGTGCTCTTGGTGGCTGTCAGTGGCAGTTCTCTCAGTGGCTGTCAGTGGCAGTGGTTGTCATTGGCTGTCAGTGGCAGTGGTTGTCAGTGACAGTGCTCTCAGTGGCTGTCAGTGGTAGTGCTCTCAGTGGCTGTCAGTGGCAGTGCTCTCAGTGGCTGTCAGTGGCAGTGCTCTCAGTGGCTGTCAGTGGCAATGCTCTCAATGGCTGACAGTGGAAGTGGTTGTCAGTGACAGTGCTCTCAGTGGCTGTCAGTGGCAGTGCTCCCAGTGGCTGTCAGTGGCAATGCTCTCAGTGGCTGTCAGTGGAAGTGGTTGTCAGTGACAGTGCTCTCAGTGGCTGTCAGTGGCAGTGCTCTCAGTGGCTGTCAGTGGCAGTGCTCTCAGTGGCTGTCAGTGGCAATGCTCTCAGTGGCTGACAGTGGAAGTGGTTGTCAGTGGCAGTGCTCTCAGTGGCTGTCAGTGGCAGTGCTCCCAGTGGCTGTCAGTGGCAATGCTCTCAGTGGCTGTCAGTGGAAGTGGTTGTCAGTGACAGTGCTCTCAGTGGCTGTCAGTGGCAGTGCTCTCAGTGGCTGTCAGTGGCAGTGCTCTCAGTGGCTGTCAGTGGCAATGCTCTCAGTGACTGACACCTGTTGTTAATGGTGGGTGTCATTGATGATAAGATTGTTGATGGCATTAGTGCAGTTTACAGACACACTTGGGATACTTTATGATACAGTGTGCACGTTTGCTGTGACACTTAAAAACTAACATTAGGTACAGGTGTGCTCTGTGCTTGGTTGTCCAGCTGCAGGTGTGCACTGTGCTTGGTTGTCCAGCTCCAGGTGTGTGCTCTGAGCTTGGTTGTCCAGCTCCAGGTGTGTGCTCTGTGCTTGGTTGTCCAGCTCCAGGTGTGTGCTCTGAGCTTGGTTGTCCAGCTCCAGGTGTGCTCTGTGATTGGTTGTCCAGCTGCAGGTGTGCACTGTGCTTGGTTGTCCAGCTCCAGGTGTGTGCTCTGAGCTTGGTTGTCCAGCTCCAGGTGTGCACTGTGCTTGGTTGTCCAGCTGCAGGTGTGCACTGTGCTTGGTTGTCCAGCTCCAGGTGTGTGCTCTGAGCTTGGTTGTCCAGCTCCAGGTGTGCTCTGTGATTGGTTGTCCAGCTGCAGATGTGTGCTCTGTGCTTGGTTGTCCAGCTACAGGTGTGCTCTGTGATTGGTTGTCCAGCTGCAGGTGTGTGCTCTGTGCTTGGTTGTCCAGCTACAGGTGTGCTCTGTGATTAGTTGTCCAGCTGCAGGTGTGTGCTCTGTGCTTGGTTGTCCAGCTGCAGGTGTGTGCTCTGTGCTTCGTTGTTCAGTACCGTTAAGTGTTGAACATGTAATCTCCCACAAGTATACATATACTGTATTTTATACAATGCTTATGGCTAGATGACAAGCAGTGTATGCAGACACTTCACATAATTATGTATTTCATTCATCTTGTTCAATATGATGCATTTGTGAGGAATGATGCAGTAGTCTAGGCTAATTTTGGAGGTTATTAATAAAATAGGATCATTTTTAATGCTGTATTATGTATGAAATATATTTTTACGTTAATATTTTTGGGAATGTGGAACGGATTAATTCAATTTAAGTTATTTCTTATGAGAAAATTCGTTTCGGTTTACAAATTTTTGGTTTACGAACCGTCAATGGGAACGGATTAAATTCATAAACAGAGAGGCCACTGTACTGTGCATTAAATATTGTATAAATATTTTTTTAATTTGGTTGTTGAGTAGGTTCCTTATTTTATACCCCATTTTTGCTAGGAATATTTAGTAAGTTGAGCAAGAAGTGGGAAATGTAATAAGAACTTGACTATTATGTTATGGTTTGAATCTTATTTATAATAATAATAATAATAATAATAATAATAATAATAATAATAATAATAATAATTTATTTAGGAAAAGTACATACATAATGTTGGATTTAGTGTAATAGTGATGTATACAGTATTTTATCTTCATTAAATTATTAAATTAAAATTAAATTAAATTAAATTAATTAAATTAAATTGTTATTTAAATTAAATTTAATTAATTAAATTTAATTTAATTAGTTAAATTAAATTAAATTAATTAAATTATTAAATTAAATTAAATTAAATTAAATTAAATTAAATTAAATTAATTTTTTTATTCACGAAAAGTACATACATACATAGTTGATTTACAAACATAATGTTGGATTTATATATAGAGCTAGTACATACAATACCTAAAGCCACTAATATGCACAGCGTTTCGGGCAAGGTGTGGGAAAAAAAAACTAAGACTAAAAGTGTTAACCATTTTTTATCCACTTAAGACTAAAACTTAATAGTAATTGGGATTAGGTATAAATTGTGTTGAAAAAAGGAATAAAAAATAAAAAAGGGGGGAACATGGCAAAAATCAGCAATTGTACAAGTTGGTGAACAAACAGCATTGTATAAAAATAGCAAGACATGGATTGACATTTAGGGGGTAAGGTAGGTTGCATGGAGTTAATTAGGTAGTACTAAGTTTTACTCTTAAACTGGTTGAGAGAGGTACAGCTGGATGAGAAGCTACCAAAAGATAATGTATGTAGCTTGTGCATTTAGGATATTTATAATAAGTATAACTTGCAATTTACACTAATTCAGTAATTAGTTTGTGCTAGCAGTAATAGAATCCCTAGTCCAGATACCAGGAATGTTGCTTCTTTTCTCCCCTTTTGTTCTACTCATATTCCCCCTCATGGACCCCTTTTATCCCCTTATGGCCTCTTTTATCCCCTTGATTAGCCTCCATGACTTTGTCACCCTTCTCTTACCCCCCTATGACCTTAGTCAGCCCTCTCATCTAATATTGATCCTTGTCGCCCCCTCATAGCCCCTCTTGTATCTCCTAAGACCTCTATCACCCCTCATGACCCCTCTGTTAAGTCCCTCTATTTATTTTATTTATTTATTTATTTATTTATTTATGCATATACAAGAATGTACATAAGGAATGTAAGGATACAAATATGGTAATTACAGTCTTGTAAAGCCACTAGCATGCGCAGCGTTTCGGGCAGGTCCTTAATCTAAGAAAATTTTAAGGAGGTAAATACTTGCAAAGTTTATAGACAAAAAAATGAAAACAGATTACATGGAATGAAAAAAAAAGAAGATGAGAGAAAATTATAGGTACAGTATATTAAAGCACATAGGTAGCTATGATTGATTGCAATGACAGCTTAAAATGGTAGTTGACAACAAATTGGTAGGCACAATACAGCAGAAACAATATATGATTGATTGCAATGACAGCTTGAATGGTAGTTGACAAAAATTGGTAGTCACAATACAGCATATGGCTAGCACATAAAAGAAGACAGCAATGAACACAATGATAAGGTTGTTTGATATTACATAAAAATTAGGAGATTGGGTAACACTAGGTACAGAGCAAATTTAAAGCTCAGTGTAGGAAACTAAATAGATGAAGTTAGGTACTTTTTGGTTTTGCTTTTAAATAAGGCAAAAGTTTTACAGTTTTTCAATTCACTAGGGAGTGAGTTCCATAGACTAGGTCCCTTAATTTGCATAGAGTGTTTACACAGATTAAGTTTGACCCTGGGGATATCAAAGAGATATTTATTTCTGGTGTGGTGATAATGGGTCCTATTACATCTGTCCAGGGAGAGTTTCAGAGCATGGTTTGCATTTAAGAACAGGGTTTTGTAAATGTAGTTGACACAAGAGAATGTGTGGAGGGAGTTAATATTTAGCAAGTTTAGGGATTTAAACAAGGGAGCTGAGTGTTGTCTGAAAGCAGAGTTAGTTATTATTCTGATAGCAGATTTTTGCTGTGTGATGATGGGCTTAAGGTGGTTTGCAGTGGTAGACCCCCATGCACAGATACCATAATTAAGATAGGGGTAGATTAGTGCATAATATAGTGAGAGGAGAGCAGAGTTAGGAACATAATATCTGATTTTGGAGAGTATACCAACTGTCTTAGAGACTTTCTTAGTTATGTGTTGAATGTGGGTGCTGAAGTTGAGTCTCTTGTCTAGGAATAGGCCAAGAAACTTGCCATCATTTTTATTACTGATGTTAATGTTGTCTATCTGTAGCTGAATTGCATTTGATGATTTGCTTCCAAATAAGATGTAGTAAGTCTTTTCGATGTTTAATGTTAGTTTGTTCGTTGACATCCATAAGTGGACTTTTTTTAATTCATTATTCACAACATTATTTAGTGTATGTGGGTTGAGGTTTGAGTAGATAAGGGTAGTATCGTCAGCAAACAATATAGGTTTGAGAATATTAGAGACATTAGGCAGATCGTTTATATATATAAGAAATAGAAGAGGTCCTAAGATGCTGCCCTGTGGCACTCCAACGGTAATTGGTAGAGTGGAAGAAGTTGTATCATTGATGGTTACATATTGGTGTCTGTCACTAAGATAGGATCGGATGTAGTCAAGGGCAAGGCCTCGGATTCCATAATGCTGGAGTTTAAGTAAGAGGTAGTTGTGATTAACAGTATCAAAGGCTTTTCTTAGGTCAATGAAGAGTCCAATCGGAAACTCATTTTTGTCAAGGGCTGAGTAGATAATGTCAAGGAGACTAATGATTGCATCATTGGTGCTCTTTTGGGACCGGAAGCCAAACTGGCAGGGGCTGAGTATGTCGAATTTTACGAGGTAGGAATAGAGCTGTTTGTAAATAATTTTTTCAAATATTTTTGATAGAATGGGTAGATTTGATATTGGTCTATAATTGTTTATGTCCGCCGGATTGCCTCCTTTATGGACTGGCGTTACTCTTGCTTTTTTGAGGATATCAGGGAAGGTGTGATACTCTATAGATTTGTTGAACAGTAGTGCTATGGGTGGGGCAAGGGCATGGGAGGCTCTCTTGTACACAATGGACGGAATTTCACTGGTGTTCCCTGCCTTGGTTTTTAGAGAATGTATGATGGACACAACATCTGCCGGGCTGATTGGTGAAAGGAGAAGAGAGTTTGGATAGCTGCCTGAGAGATATGTGTTAATATGTGTCTGAGTCTGTGGGATTTTACTGGCAAGATTAGCACCAACCGATGAAAAGAAACTGTTAAATTCATTTGCCATTTCTAAGTCAGTTGACGGTATACCCCCATCCTTGTAGAGTTTTATTTGGTTATGTGAGTGTTGTTTAGTTCCTAGGATACTAGAGATAGTTTTCCAAGTGCTTTTCATGTTGCCTTTTGCTTCATTGAATCTATTCACATAATATGCAAGTTTTGCCTTTCTTATGATACTGGTAAGCATTGATGAGTACCTTTTAGCTACTTCCTTTGAAACTAGGCCAATCCTAACTTTCTTTTCATATTCATGTTTCTTGTTGATTGAGTTGAGAATGCCACTTGTGAGCCATGGATTGTTTAATCTTTTGTCAGTTACTTGCTTGGTAAGGAGGGGACAATGAATGTTGTAGAGGCTTAGAGTTTTGGAGATGAAGAGGTTAGCTAATGAATTTATATCATGGGTATTATTGAATTCAGAATCCCAGTTAATATTGTAAAGTGCCTCTGTAAGATTGTCTAAAGCTGATTCACTGTGTAGCCTAAATGAAAGTTTCTTGCTTTTTGGTGGTGTTATGTCCATGTTCGCTATGAGAAAGGTAGGATAGTGGTCAGTTGTTCTGTCGTAGATTATACCAGATACAAGGGGAGCTGTTATGTTTGTCCATATGTGGTCCAAGGTAGTGGCTGATGTTTGAGTGACTCGGGTAGGTTTGGTGATTGTGGGGATTAGCATACAGGAGTTCATGCTGTTAAGGAAATAGTTAACTTGAGAGCAATTTTGTTGACCCAGGTCAATATTAAAGTCTCCTCCCAGAATGAAGTGGTTTTTGTTGAGATTGTTGTTTATAATAAGATTCCTTAGGTTGTCTGAGAAAGAACCTATGTTAGTATTGGGAAATCTATAGATGGCTCCAATAGTCAAAGAAGATTTAAGGGATTTAATTGAAAACTGAGCAAAAGTATATTCACAGTAGTCATCTCTGTCACTAATAACACTGTTGCAGATAAATGTATCTCGGTAATATATAGCTGTGCCACCACCTTTTTTATTAGGCCTACAGTTATGAATGGCTTTATAACCAGCTAAGTTGTAGAGTTGGGTATAGTCTTTATTTAGCCAAGTTTCTGTTAAAATAATGAACGATAGGTTAGTACCTATTGCTGTGAGTAATGCATTTAAATCGTCAAAATGTTTACCAAGTGATCTAACATTTTGGTTATAAACTGATAGACAGGTGCTATTTTGAAGTTTGTTTTTAGCCTGGTGTGCTGTGAAATACTTGCAATAATGATGATCAATGTGCTGGTTGGTGTAGATATGAGACAGAAGATTTTGATCAGGATCAATATCAGTGTGCATAGGATGCAGAGGGATCACGATACAAGATACACGATAAAGCAAAACACAAGAATAAAAGCAAATACAATAAAATAGTAACAATTTAGAAGTAAAATAAAGATCCAATAGATAGCCAGGGAGGACACAGAAGTTACATAAAATAAAAAAAACAAAAAATCAGTAGAGACTGACAATATAAATGTAAGATAAAAAATAATAAGAAAAATGATAATCATAAAAAAAAAAAAAAAAAATGATCTTGAAGATAATTAGCTTAGTAATGGTTAATTAACAGGGTAATAAAAAGCCCTAGGTTTAGTGACAAGGGGATTAACTAAGAACAAATAATTAAGAGTATAAAACAGGCAAAGATGACAAACAAAAAAAAATAAAAAAATAAAAATAAAAATAAACACCTTTGGAAAGGAAAGGCAGAGCTTAAGTACACTTTGGTTGTATGTGAGACTACAAATTATGTTCTGGTTATTCAGCTGATATCCCACAGTCATCCAGGAAAGAAGTGAGGTGTGCTTCAGTGGTTATGACATAAGTTTTTCCAGAGTCAGTCTTCCTAGCTATTATTTTACCATCGCGCACAAAACAATGTTTAATAGCAGTGGATCTATTGCAAATTCCACGTAGTTTAAATAAGAGATTTTGTCTGAATCTGGTAAGACATTCGTTCACATAAACCTTGGATTTCATAGCGACTGCAGTAGTGATAAGGTCTGACTTGCGGGAGCAGCTATCTAACTTCACCCTTATCTTTCTGTTGTTTGTACCAGATGATTTGGCACCCACTCTATAAGCTGACTTAATGTCTCTTGCTTCAATTGAATAATTCAACTTAGTACGCAATTCCTGGATCACGATGGCAGTACAGTCTTCTCTGTCAGTTTCATGGGGAAAATCCTGTGATGAGATGATGACAGAATCAAGGAGCTTAAGCTGGTCTGATTCGTCTTGGGTTGCAGTGTGTTGCTGTTGTAGGGAGTTAAAATGGTTCTCTAACTTTTGTAGCATCTCTTCTTGCTTCTTAGAGGTTTCTGCTGGTTTAAAGTTAGTAACCGAGATCTGAAGAGAGCCTAATTCCTGTTCGAGGTGGCCGACTCTGGCAGACAGATCTTGGTTAATCTTGTGCATGGCCAAAGCATCACTCTGAAGCTTCATTATCAGGTCCGACTGCTCTCGGATTATAGACTTTTGGTCGTCATGTATTTGAGTCAATAATCTGAGCCATGGATTATCAGCGAGACGCTTAAAGTCAGTACATGGGGAGGCAGCTCGTCTATGACCCCTATCACCCCATAACCCCTATAGTAAGCCCTCTTCATCCTTACAACCTCTCTATTGAGTCTCTGTTACCTCCATCACCTCTCTCTTGTATTGGGGGGTAGAAATAGCCTAAGCTACTCTATCCCTTTGAGATGTATTTCTTTCTTATCTCAATAAACATACTTGAACTTGAACTCTCTCTTGATTTCCCTGTCACCCCCCTCCTCTCTTGACCCTTGTCACCCCCATCTCTTTACCCCTGTTATCCCCCTCTTTTGACCCCTATAACCCCCTCTCTCTTATTCCAGTAACCCCTACCTCTTATACCCATGACCTATCTCTTATCCTCTCCTGACCCCTCTCACCTGACTGTTACACCTACAGGGTTCCTGATCAACTTCATCTCTCAGCCAGTCATCAGTGGGTTTACCTCAGCTGCTGCCATCACCATAGCCTCGTCCCAGCTCAAGCCGCTGTTTGGTCTTCGAGTTGACACCAAGGGGCTGATCAACACCTGGGTGGCGGTCTTTTCCAACATCCAAGATTTCCGCTGGCAAGACCTCACCCTTGGCCTTGCCTGTACAGTCATTCTCTTCCTTCTGAAGGTACTAGGTTCTTCTGATTACATTCTAAGTTTGTACTCTCTGAAATTAACAAAGGACTCTATCTGAGTGCCTTCTGGGATAGTTTATAGTCAATTTGATCTACCTACCTTTTTCTTCATATTTTTTCTTTTCTCATTCAATACTTCATATATATGATATCACAAATTTATTCTTCCATTTTGTTACTATGGATAGACTTTTACTATTACATGCAGCCAATTTTTGTTGCAATCTTGTAGCTTTTATGTTCATTATTACTAATTAAACCTGGTTCAGGAGGTACGCACAGTGCGATGGCCATGTGTGGACCATAACAGCCGAGGTCTGGGCCAGCGTGTCTTAAGACAGATGGTCTTCTACCTGTCTGTTGGCCGTAATGCTATAGTTGTTATCATTTCTTCTGTCATCGCCTATATCCTTGATGGGGATGACCAGCCCTTCACAATTACAGGTATGCTAGTGATATGCATAAGACCTCACTGTGTGATGTAATTTATCCTGGTTTTCTGTGTGACTGGAGGACAGTAATCAGTCTGGTCAGTGAAAGTATTCCTGGTGTATTGTCCCATTTCCTGTGTCTATTAGATTATTAATACCCTGTAAATGTAATGCATGTACTGTGATCATTTGCTTAAGTTGTGCCAACTAAATATATGGTGCTGACCCAGAGTGTTTACTCTCATGTTTGAGGCATTTCTTTATAATAAACATTTGTTCTGTATTTGTGATTTGAAGTAATTTACATGTAATGCAAGTAAGGAAGTAAAGGGCGGGTTTTGATTGTTTGTACTCTAGGGAATAGCTTAGAAGCTCGTGACTCTTACATAGTATATTCCATGCTCTCCTTAGACAGTATATTCCGTGCCCCCCTTAAACAGTATATTTCGTGTCCCCCTTACACGGTATATTCCGTGCTTCCCTTACACAGTACTGTATATTCCATGCCCTCCCTTACACAGTATATTCCGTGCCCTCCCTTACACAGTATATTCCATGCCCTCCCTTACACAGTATATTCCATGCCCTCCCTTACACTGTATATTCCATGCCCTCCCTTACACAGTATATTCCGTGCCCTCCCTTACACTGTATATTCCGTGCCCCTCTTACACATCATTTCATATCCCCCTTATAACACATAATTTAGGGTAAAAAGTGGCTTTGCAAGAATGTACCATTCAATCATCAAATATCTGTACCTTCACAGCCCAAAGTACCTTGTATATAAATAAATAAATATTCTAAATATAATTGATCAAACCCTATGTAACATTTTCGTAATACTCTGTCAGGTTATGTGGAACCTGGAATCCCATATGCATCTCTTCCGCCTTTCTCAACGGAGATCAACAATCAAACTATAACATTTCCAGAGATCATGAGTGACATTGGCATTGGTGTGGCAATGGTCCCATTCATTGCTATTCTTGATCTAATTGCCATTGTCAGTGTATTTGCTAAAGGCAGAACCTTTGATGCCACACAGGAGATAATTACTTTAGGCATTGCCAATGTAATTGGGTCCTTCTTTGGGTAAGTACTGTACAGTACACTACTTTACAGATAATTATTTTATTTTTATTTCTAAATGTAATTTAATGCAAATCCCCTCAAAACAATTTATTAAAATGTAATGTTTTATAATTATTTCATATAATCATCTGATAAATTGTTTTAATAGACCTAATGAGATAATTACACCAACAGCTCGATGCCTACAACAGGGGGTTTGTCACGCTCGGCTGTTAATCTGACCAGTGGCGTGCGGACTCCTGCTGGTGGACTCATCACTGGCATCATGGTACTCCTCTCTCTTGCATTCCTCACACCATGTTTCACGTGAGTTATTAATAACACTGTACAGATAAATGTTGAATCAAGAGTTAATATCAATTTTATGGGCCTTGAAAGTGAAATATATTCCAAAGTTAAAAGTTTAGTTTTACAAGTTGTGATCTTAAAAATCTAGTGAAAAGTGGGATGAATACTCAAAAGGAGGAACGTTTGGTTAAAAATGCCAGGCAGGCGATAGTTCGCAGCTGTGGCAGTGTTTTTGGGGATGAGGAAGGTGGAAGGACTATTAATAAAAAAAACAGTATAGTAGTTCTGTTTATGCAAAGCAAGCAAGGAAGTAAGTGAAGTAAAACAGAGATGATGATCAAAGTATTTGGTAAGTTAATACAACAGTTGTTCAACAGAAAAAAAATTGTTGATTGAATAATATGTTGGGAAAGAAAATTTGTACCTTTTAAGAAAATAGTGTCACTGTCTACCTGACAGCCACGATGGTGAGTACCTGGAAAAAAGGATTTGTATAAGAAGTTTTCTGAACATAATGATATACAGTACTTTATAGCCAGGATCTTAAGTGGCCGTGTCAGGGTCAGGACTGTGGTGGCTTGTGAAAGCTTCCCCTAATTTGCCTGGTCTTGAGCAAATTACACGGATGGTTGTTGAAAAGCACCTGGTGAGGCTGCTCAAACCACACACTAGAAATTAAAGAGACGATGGCATTTCGGTCCGTCCTGGTGAGGTTTTCCAAGTGCATTTTAAAGACAGTGCATTCTAAATACTTTGACTTGTTAATTTGATAAGATAATTACATTCAGGTAATTACTACCAACAAACAATGATGGGGAATCCAGGGATGTGGGTTCAATCCCATCACACAGCTTCAATATTTTTCTAATAGCTACATAGTGTTCTTGTGATTTCATTGTGTGTATCACGTGTTTCAAACATGTTACAGGAACACCAAAGCTTAGCTTGCCTGGCGTACCTGAAACTCTAGAGATGGATCTGCCCGGAGGGAGTAGAACCGTTTTTTGGTTGGTGTTCATGATGCCAATGGAGAGTTTGGCTGGGGTTTTTAAATTTTATTTATTTACCTCTTATCAGTCATTCTTGGCTGGAACGAATAATCTCCAGTGACTCCCTAGCACCTATTGTGCCTCTACAGGGAGCACTTGAAATGTTCCTTGTGGCACTGATGTCAGAATGTGTTCTTGCCCAACTGTGGATGATCTTGTCAAATCATCCTGTCCTTGCAAATAGTGCAGTACATCGCATTTTGATGTCAAAATCGTACATTGCATTTTGATGTCAAAATCTCCAACTAATGGAACATGGTGTATTATAAATTATAGTGGCTTGCAAACATTCACATTTTCTGTTTGTGGGTCCATTTTTTTAGGTTTGGTTAGGTTAGGGCAATTTAGCACGTCATTTTCTGTTCATTGCGACAACTGGAGAGGATTAGCTGGTCCAGTCGACATAGTGAATCTTAAGGAGCTGTCAAATCATTTGTCTTAGTAAAGTGGTTTTAATTCATATTACTCAAAGAAATTTTTTTTAATTAAAAGTTAAACAAATTTGAGAGGGACATTACAAATACTCTACCTACTCTTACTAAGAGTTGATTGGGAAAAGATTATATACAAGATTACATGCATGTTTAGAATAGATGAAAAAATTAAACTGATAAATTATTAGTTTTTTGTATAATGTGAGAGGAATAATTTTGAACTACTGTATATGTAGTAGAAGTATATATGTGCTTGCACAAGAGTGAATAAATATGTTAATTCCATGTGAACATAGTACTGTACTGTAGTCAGTGTGTTGTGCATTCTAAATGAATGTAACCCATTTTACCAACTGTAATTTTGCTTATAGTAAACATAAATAAAATGTAGACCTTAAAGCTCCCAACTATCCCATTTAAGCAGGAATCAAAAGAATAGTAGTTGAATGTTTATAGATTTATTTATACTTTAGTTACACTAGTAAAAGTGAGCAACTTTTTATATAGCTTTGATGCTGAGCTACTATTCTTTTGTTAGAAACTTTATAATCCTTTATAATGTCAAACAAACATTGTCCTTAAAAATATCAAATAATAAATCTTAATGTTATAACCTTGCTTCATACAAATTTTGCAAGTTTTTACTCCATATTTTGGTACTTTTTGGGAACAACTCTTGTGTATACATTAGTCAAAACAATATTTTTCCCATACAACAAATGGCATGAAATATCTTATAAATGCAATTCTGTCTCCTCAGTTACATTCCAAAATCAACCTTGGCGGCAGTGATCATATGCGCCGTGATACATCTGATTGATTACGGGATCTTGGCCCCTCTCTGGAGAAGCAAGAAGGTCGATCTAGTACCTCTTTTTGTCACCTTCATTGCCTGTCTCGTATGGGGACTGGAGTGGGGGATTCTTTTGGGCATTGGCGTCAATCTGTCCATGCTGCTTTATTCCATTGCCACACCTACCATCAAAGTTGCCCTTGTGCCCCCTGGTGTAAGTTTTTTGTTTTGGCAAATATACACGTTCTTTAGACACTAAGCTACTAGTATTAGGTAACCCAAGTAGAAATACCTTACGGTTTCATGTCTATTGCTCATCATCTTCAAGGTTTTCGTCTGCTGTGTTAAGTGTTCCTAATCATATTGATAAAAAAGTGTGGCTCATTGAATTTATGCAATGTAGCTTAATAGCAATTATTTTTATTAGTCTAGATATCCCAATAAAATATCTTATGGTTCTGTCATTTTTCTGATCTATTCTACTGAGTTGCTCATTGAGGCAAGATCCTGGTTAGGATAACTCTCAAGCATGGCAGATAATGTTCTGCCCAGCACATCAAGGAACTTTTCAAATTTTACCTGCCAGACCGTACTGGTGCTAGAGACTACAATGAATAATGCTCATCCAGCCCAGAACGCAGCCAGAAAAAATGCAGTCATATAAAACTAAAAGCTTTTCTAAGTGCTGCATCACAAGGGTTATCTCGCAGCATCCATCCTAGCAACTGAATGGTTCACCGTCACAATAATAATAATAGTAATAATTTTATTTACTAAATGTATATAGAAGCATGCTACAGTAATTACCGAAGTGTAGTTACAGGGAGAGCTACGCTCATGGTGTCCCGTCTCCACAGTACTTTTTGTTATATAGTGCTTTGAAACTACTGATGGTTTTGGCCTCCAACACCTTCTCACTTAACTTGTTCCAACCATCTACCACTCTGTTTGTAAAAGTGAACTTTCAAATGTGTTCTCAGCAGCTTTGTTTCTTTTGTTTGAGCCTATCTCTTTTTCTTCAAGTTGCAGCTTTATAAAATTCTTCTTTGTCAATTTTGTCGATCCCTTTAATATTTTGTACGTAGCGATCATATCGCCTCTTCTTCTGTCTTCTAGCTTTCGTATATTTAACACCTCTAAGCTCTCCCTGTAGCTCTTGTTTTTCAGTTCTGGGAGCCATTTAGTTGCATGTCTGCATTTGTTCCCATTTATTGATGTGCTTGAGATATGAGCACCATACAATCACTTCATATTTCAACTATGGTCTCACATAGGTTGTGAACAAATTCTGTAATATTTTGCCATCCATGTACTTAAAAGTGATTCTAAAGTTGGAAATATGTAGCATACACTTCTTGCACAATGTTCTTTATGGTGACACTGACAATTTTTTATCCAGAACCACCCTTAGATCTTTATCAGGATTCTTTAAAGCTTTTCCACATAATTTGTAGGCTGTGCAGGGTCTATTTTCTCCTATTCCACATTCCATAACATGGCATTTATTCACATTACATTGCATTTGCCAAGTGATGCTTCATACACTTATTTTGTCCAGGTTTTCTTGAAGGGCCTGACAGTCATCTAAATTTCTTATCATTCCTAGTAGCTTGGCACAATCAGAAAATATGTCTATGTAATTTTGTACTCCTTCTGGTAGATCATTTATATAGGCAATGAACATTACTGGTGCTAAAAATGAACCCTGTGGTACTCCACTTGTAACGTTTCTCCAGTCTGATACATCTCTTGTGGTTACTGCCCTCGTTTTGCCATCGGTTAGAAAATTTTTCATTCAATTCAGAAGCCTCCCTGTCACTCCTCCAGTATGTTACATTTTACAGAAAAACTATTCATGTGAGACTCTGTGAAAGTCTTTTTTAGGAAGAGATAAATGTAGTCATAAGATAAGATGTTTATTCAGTCTACTCAGGAGATAGTCAACAGAACTATCCCTTTCCTGTAAAATCTGTGGCTCTATCACAGGAACTAAGTGGATTTGTTACACAGGACCTTCCTGTTCAAAACCATACTGTTTTATGATATTATTTTACGGGCTCACCATAGCCCGTGCTGCTTGGAACTTTTATGTTCCAGGTATCGAATCTTTAACAACAACAACAAGATATTATTTCTCTCAAGGTGTTCTACCCATTTGGTTTTAATTATCTTTTTTCTAATGTTTTGACAACACGTATCAACAATACAGGTCTATAATTAAAAGGGTCTTCCCTGCTACCATTTTAGTAGACTGGAACTGTTAGCCTTTTTCTATTTATCTGCCAAGACTCCTCTACACAAAGATGACTGAAAAAAAGCAAATAAAGTGGAGTACTGAGCTCAGATATGCATTCACTCGGAACCCAAGGTGAAAATCCATCTGGTCCAACTGCTTTGTTCCTACTTACCTCCTTGAGTATTTTTTCCACTTCATCTCAAGACACTTATTATTTACTCAGAAACCAAACCAAATCTAATCATGGATGAAGACAGCTTGCCAGATAGCCAACAAGTCAAAGAGAACAAAAGCACAGCTGCTGGAGCCTCTGTGTACCTCTGTGAGGGGGGGACCAGGTTTTGACTTCTGGTCTCCAGTAGGCTCTTAATGATGTATAGTATGAGGTTCTGGTGCAATTAGACAGCTACAAAGCTATCCAGAGAAGCTAGCAACAGGGAGCCACCTTCGAAGCCCTCCTGGGAAGTAGACAAAGCTGTTGACCGAACCACACACTAGAAGGTGAAGGGACGATGACGTTTCGGTTCGGACCGAAACGTCGTCGTCCCTTCACTTTCTAGTGTGCGGTTTGGTCAACATATTTCAGCCACGTTATTGTGACTCCTCATCTGCATACTATATAGACAAAGCTGTTATTCTTTCTGTGTTTCAGGAGTCATTTTTGTTGTTTATTCAAATTAGGCTTAACGTTCACTCCACTTCCTCTCATGTATATTCCTCATGTTCTGTATAGTGCTCATTCCTCATGTGTATGTATCTTTTTTCTTGTGTATATTTCTCATTCCTCTCATGTTTATTTCTCATGTCTCTCTTTAGAAACATCATGGAGGATATGTTTTAGTTACTCCATCCCACGGCATTAGCTACCCCAGTACATGCCACATCCGCGCTGCCATCAGAAAGGCTGGGCTCAGGCAGGCTGGTGGTTCTCTTCCCATTGTCATCGACTGTTCCTTCATTGATACTGCAGACTATACGTCAGCGAAGGTGTGTCCAAACTCTTGGTTATTTGTCATTTAAAGAATATTAATTATCAGGCTTGAAAGACTGTTTTATGTTTTTCCAAATTTTTATCCATCACTTTAATATTTAGAGATAATGCATTTTTATATTAGATCATATATGTCATATTCACTAGGTAACTTTACTGAATTCCTATCTCCATTAAAAAATACAATATACAATATACAGTACTGGTAGGAACTACAAATAGATGTCTTGAGTTATACAGTAGTTTCTTCCTCTTGCAATGTTTTTTATATCTAGATCATGTCATTTATTAAATATTTATGAAGAAACACAGTAAAAAAACAGCATTGAATGTAATGAAAAGCCATTTTCTGGGTAAGACCCGGAGGCTCCCCGGAGCTAATCAGGCTGATATGAATGTATTAGACACCTGGCATCAGTCAATGCACATGGAGTCCTTTTTTAGGGGGTGAGAGAATTTGTATCATAATCAATAATGATTCATTGTTTCAGTTCTATTACTTAATCTTTACCTAATGGAAACAACTCGAACATTTTTCCCTAATTATGTTTAACTTCTCTCTCACCATCAGGGGATCAAAGGGATGATAGATGACTTCCAGTTACGAGGGCAGATCCTGGTGTTTGTTGGCATGAAGCCACGTGTCCTCCAGATCATCGGAGCTCTTCATGAGGGCATTGTTGTTTGTTCCTCCTTTGATGCTTTGCCCGAGGCTTTGGCAGGTGTGACACGCCTCTTCATTTACTTTAAGCAACAATGCAACCCCTGGACATTAAATTTGCATTATGTATTTTCTTTATAATGAATGCTTTAATGGTAATGCTTAAAAGCTTATACCATTATAATTTAAATTTCCAGCATCAATACAGATGTTTCTAATATATACATATTGTACCAAATTCAACTTTATACTGAAAGCAAACTTTGAGTTCAAATCCTTTATAAACACATTTTCTGGTCACTTTCATTAGCCACAATGTTTTACAACCATAAGAAGTTTTCAAATAATATAATCTCTATAATTTTTTACATAATAACATTCAGAAACTATATTTATTATTATTAATTATTTATAATATTATTAATGTAATTTTCTATCAGATGGGGAGACGGAAGTGGGACTCGACAGTGTCAATGGTGACGGACGACACCACGGAGGAGATATAATCATCTCTACTATGATATCCACCCCTACATCCGATACCAGTGATGCAGCTAACCCTCTGCTCACCACCACAGCTTTCCATGACCAGAAGTAGCATAACTTTACAGCTGTTTTGACTACAAGCGAGAAATCTTACTCTGTCAAAGGGATAGCAAACTGTCAAACAAATAAAGTAGCCTGCCTTTAACATTCCAATACTAGCAACCCGTGTGCATATTTTACCCATTCCTGTCGTCTCCGGAAACAAGCTTAATATCGCCAGTGTCTCAGACTCGACGGGTTGTGTAAAGTGAGTGACTGCAATAATAATTCCTAAGACAGTACTATGCAGGCCACTTTAGATTTCATTGACAGTTATGTTTTTACATTATTGTAACCAAGGACAGGATGAAAGTATTTACATTTTCATATTTACATTCTACAATTTAAAATGTGCAGTGCAGAGCACATTTCATATTACATTCCAACAAACCATACTTCAGCACTTAATCATGGCCTTCCCACATATTAATCAAAGAAAGCTATACTTTGTAGAATCCAGGTTTATACAAAACAGTGGTGATGACTCAGTATTCTGGAATCCAGAAACCTGAAGGAAATAAAGAATGGACTCCCTTGACAATGACACATATCAGTATAATTGGTCTTTCTCATTTACGCACTATAGCCCATGTCTAGGAGTGTTGATGATTCTTGATAATGGCCTACAGTGTCTCATAATCTGCTTATGCCTCACAAGCAACTATGCAAAGTTGTATTGTTCTCTTAGTGGAAAGCAGCTATTTACTGTGACTTGTTGACCGCAATAACTAACTGAACACAATTTTATGAGATTTAGTATGCTTAAGTTCTGTTACAACATAAATATCATGACACTTGACAAACTCACCAACTACTTTGTAAATACATTTTTCATGGGTGTCAGACTTAATTTACATTAGAAATTAGTTATAAGTGTTAGAATAGATACATTGTTTATTTCTCTTAGACCCAAGTTTTCTTTGTAGGGTTTCAATGTAAGGATCAAACACATAAGGGCAAACTTGATCTTGTTTCAATGTGGTCTACAAAATTCATCTTCCATTTCATTATTTTCTCACACATGCAGTTCATATAAATATCTATTTTTAAGTTAGGAAATTTTACATACATGTCCTTGAGCTGGAAGATTGTTATCAGAGTTGAAGACTGTTATTGGATCTTTTCTGACTACAGTCCTGAGACCTTGCTTAACAATATAGGTATAGGTATTTGGGAGTGTGCTAGTGTAGTGTCTAGTGAGTCAGAATCCATCATTCACTAAAAGTTGCACAACAAGTGGGAGCGCCAATAAAAAAAAGCCAACCAAACCCTGGAAATAATCAAGTGTACTTTTACCTTCAAGGAAAAGAAAGCAGTCGTTCAATTGTATAAGTCTCTGGTGCGCCCCCACCTGGATTATTGCATCCAGGTGTGGAGACCTCATCTTCAGAAAGACATAGCTGCTATGGAGAAGGTGCAACATCGGGCAACAAAAATCATCCCAGAGCTTAGTCATCTCTCGTATCAGGAACGGTTGAAGGCCACAGGGCTAACAAGACTGCAAACCAGGCATGACAGGGCGGATCTTATCGAAACCTTTAAAATACAATACTGAACAATATGGAGGATGTCGATCCAAATAATTTCTTCAAAAGGTCAGATGTAACATGAATGAGGAGCAATGGGTTCAAGCTCAACAAGCAACAATGTAGGAGAGAAAAAAGGAGAGGCTTTTTCACCAATAGGATTGTAAACCTGTGGAACCACCTACCCACCGAAGCCGTAAATGCCAAAACTCTGCTGGGTTTTAAAATACATCTGGAAAAGATCATCAGAGCAAAGGGAGGGGGGGACTTTTGACAAGCCGCCAACTTCCTGTCCTCATTGAGGCAATTAGTATTAGTTGCCCTTGGGTAAATTCACTACTTTCAGTGTGTGGATATCTGAGAGGGGTCCATAGATGGTTCCCAAGCTAACTCCTCCAGACAACAAACTAAAGAATGGCCACCTTGTGGGAGGAGGAGAGGAGATGTTAGGCACTCCAAAGGGAGCAATGCTGTGTTGCTGACCCAATGTCACACATGCCAAGTGCTGCTGAGGGACATAAACCAGGCACCGAGCCACCAAAACCCAAAAAGACAAAAAGACATGAGCCTGAATAACTGCCCAGGACAAATGAGGCCAAGAAGGCAGACAAGCCTGGAAAATATGGACAACACAATCCACAAAAAGACAGTAGGCTAGCAAAATAAAAGCCACCCAGTGTACCAAAAGAGAAAATCCAGGCACAGAAGCAAGGATCAGGGACACTGGCCCAACAAAGGACGCCTTTACAAACAATTCAAGCAGGAAATGGCATACTGCAGCCATAAAGCAGAAGCAGGGCAAGCGGCCAGCTTGAGCCATGCAGTCCTCGTGGCGCAGTGGTAAAACACTCGCCCAGTGCTTTAGATATATGCCTCTGTTCACACAGCAGTGAATGGGTACCTGGTTGTTAAACGATTTGGTGGGTCATATTCCAGGAAAAATTAAGATTAAGGACCCGTCAAAATGCTATGCATGTAGTGGATTTACAAGAATGTATGCATGTAAGAAACAGAAGGCTCAGTAGGAGAAGACCCTGCTAGAGGGCAAAAGCCCATTAGGCAACCCCATAAAAGCAGCAAACAAATGGCCCACACTGAAAGCCAATGAGGGAGTTACTGCCAAGTTGAATGAAGAGAGGTAACAGGATCAGTCAACAGGTAATGGCTCACTAAAATGACAAAAAGATAGGCTTGCAATAGCTGACTCTGACTCTGAAACAACAGTGGGACACAAGTCAAACAGCACACCAAGCCAACACAGACCAGTATCAAGAAGGCTGCCACAGACACGTCAATATAGACTTGTCGGCTGCTCAAACAGCAGAAACCGGACCATGTTGGGTCACTCAAATGGCAAAAGAACCATGTAAATACACATGTGCTCAGATACCGAGCCCAAAGTCACAAAAACCCTAGCTGAGCCAGCCACCAAGGAGGGACATCCTGCGGCAAAATACCGCATCTTGGAAGGAATGAGGAAACAGTGCACTAGAGGAAAGAAACAGAAACCTAACCAATCCCACCAATCAAAATGCCACCACAAAGAGTTCATGACCTAGTACTGAGCTGATAAACAACAGAAGCCACAGACCAACATCTGTGAATGACTGAGCAATATGCAAACCTAATGAGAGGATGCAATATTGCCCAGCCACTCCACTGAAGAGGTTGAAACACGAGGTACTGACCACAATCACAGTCGAGAGCCCTGCAAGGGAACCACATGGCTAAATCCCAAGAACCAGATGTCAAGCTACAACCGAGACCAGCCCCAGACCGAAAAACTAACCGAGTCATACTGGGGGAGACAAAGAACCACTGAAGTGAAGGCAGAGGACAGAACCAGCTAAAAAAACGATAAATGCTCAACAGTGCAACCAAAACCACTGCCAACCTACAAATCCAAAATGCACACTTACCAAAAGAACACTAAACTAAGATTTTGTTTATTTTTTCTGAACTCGCCATTAGTTTCCTTATACATGTACAGTACTATAACTTTCACATTATTCGTAGAATTTTGTTTACAAAAATGCACATGGGAGGTAGCTCCCAAATAAATGTTGCATTGGAAGGTTAGCTCCTGCACTGTGCTCTTGTTTCAAGTAACAATTTATGGTGTGCGCACAAAAAAAAAAATATTAATTTTTTCTTTCTAATGTTGTTCAAATGCATGCCCTGATTATGGGAAGTTAAACAGAAATTATGTAGCTTGCTTTGGCTGTAGTGGAGAAGTGGAAACTCGTAATGACATCATCAACTCGTGAGCACTGATAGATGAGACGCCCTGTGGAAGCCGCCTGGCCCAGGTGGGCAGCGTGAATAGCCACGGATATATTTATACAGTACTGATTTATTTCAGTGACACTGATTTATTTTTCACAATTTTTTTGCAATTATATTGTATAATGGTGTGTAATTTGAGAAACGTTAATAATAAAAAGTACAGAACATTAATACACACAAATACATTGTGTATACAGTATTATACTCTTTGAAAAATAAATCATTCTGTTTTGCTATTATGGTATTACACTGTAAACACATTTTATATATATATCTACACGTTTATGCAGTTATGAACCACTAGGCAGTTCTGGTGACTGACAATCTCGTAGCATTGATCCATGGTTAGCATCCCACATTTTGCACCAAAGTTGTAATTACTCGCATAAAATACATTTAATTTTCGTTGTACAGTATTTTTAATGTTTTTACCATGGTTTTTTTTACAAGTGCAGTGATGCATTGAGCTGTCATATCACAATGTGTAGAATATCACTATGTACAGATACTGTATATCATTGTAACTAACAGGTGCACCACAGTATAATGTTAGAAAAATTACAATACTGTTTTTGCTGTTACGTACCACATTGTATTCACATGTTATATATAGCTATCTACACGTTTATGCACCGTTGTGACCCACTAAGCACATCTGGCTTAGTGGGTGGGACCCAAATTTTGATTAAAGTTGAAAAGGTTAAGAACTTGAACCCAATTTTATTCAGATTTTTGTTCAGCAAAAATCTCTGTAATCTAAATTTGTATTCGAGGTGAGAAATGCAAAACTCAAACTAGAATTTATAATACTGTACTTGGGCTTTCCATTCATCCGAAATCTCATTAATCCAAATTTTTATTCAAGTTGAGAAGTTAAAATTTGAACTCGAATTTCTTTGGGTTTTTGTTTAGCCGAAATCTCTATAATCCGAAGTCCTATTCGAGGTAAAAGGTAAAAATCTTGTACGTAATTTCATTTGGATCACTAAGAGATTCAGGTTACCAGAATCCAAATTACAAAGATCTTACAGTTTCAAAGTTTAGTTTCACAGCATCATATGACAGAGTACTGGGAAGACGAGACACCATAATAATATCTCCCACCATGTAACCCCACTTGGTTAATTACATTTAGGTAATTACAAACTGGATTTACGTGTAGCTAATCTTAATAATATTCTTATCAAATACGTTTACATGCACATTTTGACTCAGCATTTATGAATATTATGAGTGAGGTGCCAAAATAGTTTTAAGTCCCATGTAGTTCTCATCATACTGCTGTGTAGTCATTGGGAGTCATAGATCAGGTATTACATTGCAGTAAAAAAAAATTATAGGCATGTGAGGTCCAGTGAAATATACTGATGTTCACCGTCAGTGCGGTACACTGTACATCATAGTATTAGCTTGGCCGGTGTAGTAAATATTTGAGGTGCTAGTGATGAAATAATTGTTGAAGTAGTTCTGACCAAATGTAATTAAAGCTAATGATACTATACAGTACCTAAGTAGGCTTATAAATACTATACAAATTATGAAGCAAGAAAATGTTTATAATGGCAATATGACATATTGTATAGTAATTTGAGAACCTTGAAGGTAATTATGCTGGTATTATAAAATGTATGTTGGCCTTATTGAAACCTAGTTACAGTGGATGTGTGATTATCCAAACTAATTAGGATGAAGCCCTAGTCAGACAATCCAAATATTCAGGTTTCCAGATTTCAAGATTACACTATCTGAATTACCTCAGGAATTTCTGACAAGTGGCTGGATAATCACCAGAACAAACCAGAAACCAGTTATATAAACTAGAGATTTAGATATATTAATAGACCACTGTAGTTTGGGGGCCATTGAAGTATAATTATTTTGGAATCACTAAAATACAGCACTGTAGTGTATAATTATTTGGGGCCATTTATTGCAATATGTTAGATTTTTTGTAAAAAAATTGCATTCAATCCTAGAAATCTCATTATGTTGGGGGTCATGTAATGTAATTGTGTTGGGGCTGGGAAATATAATAATTTTGGGACCAGAAAATATACTTATTTTGGGACCAGAAAACATAATTATTTTGGGGCCAGTTCGGTAGCGTATAGTCATGGTTGAGCAATGATAGTATAGTTAGTGGAGTTAGTAAAGGGATACTAGTGCAGATGAGGCACTGGGGGTACTAAATATGTTCGGCCAATTAACAAAATTGTTACAACTGAAGAGAACATTGGTGTTTGGACCATTAGTGAGCATTATGATGATGGTCTGATGAGAGTATTAGTGAAGGGGGTTTGGAATATCTTGTCAGATGGGCTAAACACACTCACGGATACCTCTGCTAGACAGGCTAATGAGACTCATGGATACCTTTGCCAGACGAACTAATTAGACCAATGGATACCTTTGCCAGACGGACTAATTAGACCAATGGATACCGTGTCAGATGGACTAATTAGACCAATGGATACCCTGTCAGATGGACTAATTAGACCAATGGATACCATGTCAGATGGACTAATTAGACCAATGGATACCATGTCAGATGGACTAATTACATCCTGGGTTAAATTGCAATGATACAGCAAAATATTTGATCATATC